CATCAATTGACCATTGACGAATACTGGCACCAGTTGAACTGCGTAAATCTTCACGAATAACTACACGATCAACTAATTCAGTCGAAGAAAATTGCAAAATACAGTTATCAGTCGAACAAGTTAAATTACTCTTTAGAGCAGTGCCGTAACAATTGCGTATGAAATCACCTAATTCTTTATATCTACTAGCATGTCTAGCATCAACTACGCCATCTCGATTGACAGCTAAATCTAACATTAGCTTACAATTACGTCCGACTGATGTATGATAAACATCAATTAGTTCGTTTATCGGTCGAATAGGAAAGCGATCACTACCGTAAAACCATCGATCACTAACTTGAAGAGTTGTTGGACACTCAGGAGGTGAAAAATATGAACCATCAGCATCTTCTTGACCGTCGGCGTTTACGGTTAACCATGTATCTTCGCGAGCAAAACCAAATTCATTACCAATATTTCTAATACTATTATTTGTAATGCCAAATCCACCGAAAACAGATGCATTTGATTGATATTTTTCTAGCAGAGTCGATATCGGGTTCTTTAAAGATTGTGAATAGCCGCCATCAAACCATATTTCTAATAGCTGTCCATAATTCGTCCACAATTCTTCTAATTGTTTTAAGACAATTGATTCATATGTCTGTTGATCAATTGGCATTTGACCTGGCGCTAGTGGTTCTGGTTGAACACGACTATCTTGTACATTTAACCAATTATTCCATACGACTGAATAATAAAATCCGGTTTTAATTCCAGCTTTTTGACATGATCGAATAAAATTCCCAACAAGGTCTGTTTCTGTTTTCGGACTATACGAAATAGAATAATTATAGGGAATTGTTTCACCACTCGTAAGTTGAAATTGAACCTGTGTTGGCCATGTTGTGAAACCACAATTATGTTTTGCTACTAGAACGGCATATTTAGCACCGACATCTTCGAATGTTTGAACCCAATTATCGGTATTGAGTATTGAGGGATTAAATAGATTAATATCAGGTACAAGCGAAGGATCACGATTACAACCATCATATGCAATGGGTAAATACGATGCAATATTATAATGAATCAAGAAACCGATATCAGACTGTTCTAACCATGATAATTGAGCTGGAGTTGGCTGAGCAGCAAGTATGAATTTCTTTTTCTTACATGCTCGTGCATCAGTTGACAACAGGAAAAATAACAGCAGAAGCCACATGTGAGTCATTCTGTATTGATTGAAAATTATACTATGTCAGGCGCTTGTTAACAAAACAAAATATACGATAATGATAGACAGATACTGTCCAAGTATGAGACCGTCAGATGAGAAAGTATGGTCCGGCAGAAGATTTTAGGGCTAAAATATGAAGATGGATGATTCACGAGAACGAGAGTGGTCAAGAATTCGAAAAAGTTGATGACGTTGTATGTGCACAACGCTGGAAAGGAAAAAAGAGAATAGCTTTCGGTTGAGATAAGCTGTAGGAGAAAGTTACTGAAGGTAAACCAGGTGCTTTTGTCGTTCATTATTAACTTCTGACGACCTTCAGCAAATTTCACACAAAATTATGAACAACAAGTTGATTTGAGTGAATATAATTAAATTTAATGTTTTCAAGAATTACTGCGTACAATATTGAACAATACTGAACAGTACAATATTTCAACAGATGTCACTATGTTACGCAAAAACCATTTCAACGCTTGAAGTGACAAAATTCTATTTGCAAACGAACCAGTATTTTTTTGGAATTGCTCAAATATTCTTGTTTCATAAAACGAATTTCGAACATCTATAGTTCTTGACAGAAACTAGATGGAGGTTTGGGATTTTAAGCATAAGTAGTCTAGATGGTGTACTATTTTTAGGGAAGAGCAAAACCAATCACATGTTGGAAGTGCTCGAGCATATGGAAACAGTTTCTGAAACTTTTTGTGCCGTACTAATTTTCCTGAAAAAAGCTTTTCTTAGGTATTAAATTTCGGTTCGAATACTACAGATAATGAGGTTGGTGTTCTATGAGAAATTATGAGCTTTTGAGATATACGAATACTCTATAGAAGGTCCAAAACAAAGATGCCTCATGTTAAACTTTAATTGTTGCATCCAATCATGATGAAAACGAGATA